CAATTAAGGTCTTCCAATAAAAGAGATAGCTAGCTATGTATGTGCTCATTCATCCATTCGAAGAAATTTGGAAGACAGCTCAGGGGCTAAAAGAATGGGACAGATCCCTACATGTGTCCACTCCAAAGAGTTGAACAATATCCTTAAAATCTTGTAGAAGATAGTTTAAAAATTACTGGAGCAGTACATCAACAGGGAACTGACAGTAATTAAAGCTGGATTCAGAAGATGCTGTGGAACAGGAATATTAGAAAGGTATTTGTGTTTTATTACCTATGCAAAGGCATGCAACAGTGTGGGCCATAATAAGTTATGAATAACATTAAGAATAGAAAGCCAGAACTTAATTGTGCTCACATAGAACCCATGTATAGATCATGAAGCAGTCACTTGAATAGATCAAGTATCAGTCCCTTGAATAGATCAAGTATCAATAGATACTGCATGGTTTAGAATTAATTTAAAATGAAAATTTTAAGACTAAAAGGTATGTATCAGGTTTGTATATATGTGTAAGGAGTTACTCTGCTAACTCAAAGGAGGCATCTCTCTGGCGGTTTGAATCCACTATGGGAGAAAAATGGGCAATCACTACTTATGAGATTTACAGCCTCTGAAAACCTGCCAGAGGGTCAGCAATGAGCTGGTTCTGACTCAGTGGCAATAAGTTGAGTTATATTTGACGGTATGCTGAATCCAAGAAGCCAGCCTGTATGTAGGAAGACATAACCATTCAATTTATGGCAGCCATTAGCTGGTGTATCAATATTAAATGCCATAAATATCCAATTACAATTGGATGAAAACTCACCAATGACTGGCAATTTGCAGATAACACAATCTTGCTTGCAGAAAACACTTGAGGCACTTACTGATGAAGTTCAAAGATGGTAGCCTGCTGTATCAATTACACCTTTATAAAACAAAAATTCTCACAACCAGACCAATAGGCAGCATCATGATAGATGAAGCAGAAAAGACTGAAGCTCACAAGGATTTCATTTTACTTGAATCCACGATCAACATCCATGGTAACAGTAGTCAAGAAATCAAGACATGGCGCATTGGAAAAAACCACTGTCAAAGACCACTCCAAAATGCTAAAGCACAATATCAGTTTAAAGACTAAAGTGCACCTGATCCAAGCCATGCATCTGAAAGTTGGCCAATGAACAAAGAAGAAAGCAGAAGGCTCAAAGCCTTTGAATTGTGGTGTTAGAGAAGAGGACTGATGATGGACTGGCCAAAGAACAAACAATTCTGTCTTCAAGAAAGTGCAACCAGAGTGCCCCTTGAGGCAAGAATGGTGAAACTTTGTCTCGGATACATTGGGCATGTTGTTAGGAAGGGCCAGTCCTTTGAAAAAGGGAGGAAGACCGTCAAGTGGGTTAGCACAAGGACTGCAACAATGGGCTCAACCATATCTGATGGTGAGAATAGTGCAGGACGGGGCAATGTTCAGATCTGTTGTTCATAGTATCACTATGAGTTGCAGTGGACATGATAGCATCAAATAAGAATCACAGTTCACACACTTGAAAGCAGCAGTCAAGAAACCTGATGGCATATTGTTTTGGGCAAATCAGCTGCAAAGGATTGCTTTCAAGTGTTGAAAGGGCAAGGATGCCACTTTAAAGAGAAAGGTGCATTTGATCCAAGCCATGACATTTTCATTTACTTCATGTGAATGTTAAAGTTAGACAATGAATAATCAAGATAGAAGAGCTGATGACTCTGAATTGTGGTTTTGGGGAAGTATATTCAATATACCATAGGCTGTTAAAAGAATGAATACATCTGTCTTGGAATAAGTACTGCCAGAGTGTTTCTTAGATGGGATGATAGCGGGACTTTTTCTCACAAGTTCTGAGCAAGTTTTTAGGAGCAACCAGTCCTGGGACAAGGATAACATGCTTGGAAAAGCAGAAGGCTAATGAGAAAGATGATCTTCAGATGGTTTGACAAAGTGGCTGCATCAGTGGGCTTAAGAACACAGCAGAAATAGTGAGGATGGCACAAGATCGGATAGTACCATTCTGTTGTAGGGTGGACGTGAGTCAGAGTGGATTAGACAGCACCTAATACCCACCTCTGTAGTCAGCACAGAGATGTCATTAGCTATTTAAAGTAAAAAAAAATAAAAAAACAAAACCAACAAAAACCAGGTCTTTTGTAGGGAGATAACAGATAATGCAAGAATATAATCATAGTTTTGTTGCAGGTATGTTTCTACTCTAAGAGAATTGTGGAATTCTTAACTTTGTGAGGGACAGAATGAAGGAAAAGGTTCAGGTCACATGTTTAACCAATAACTAGTCTGTAGTGTGTTGTACTGCCAACCTAAGGCAGCACCTGTTGGTTTGAATCTACAATCAGCTCTGAGGGAGAAATAGGGGCACTCTCTTCCTGTCAAGTTTACAGTCTGAAAACCAGCCACAGAGTCAATTAGAAGTGGGTTCCAACTTGATAGTAATATTTAAATGCTCTAGTAAAAAATCTGCCAGACTTAAGTTGATTATGTTTTAGCAATCTTTTGAATAGCATAGTGAATTCTGAATCTGTGATGTTTCCAAAATGTATGGCTAACTATATATGTTTACTCTTCAATAAGCTAAAGGAGAAACAGTATTTTTGTTTAAGAATTTTTACTACCCCCTCAAGGAATTAATACAATAAGCTAAAAAATAGGAAGGATTTAGAGCTAAAATATCATGTAATGCTAGCTAATGATTCCTAGTAAATTGCCACCAATCAACACTACACGACATTACAATACAGAAATACAGGTATCTCCTGTTTTTTTTGTAAGTATGCTTTATGTCACTTCACAGTACCTGTTTTTCCTGAGAGATTTGAAGAGTTTTGCTTTTGTAAAAGGGGGGAGGGGAGTAATAGAAGAAAACTAGAACACATGGTGTTTTTATAAAGTCCTTAAAAAGACTGAGCCCACCAGCGCAGAGTAGGGTCCCCAAGCTCCTCAGTAATGCAGAGGGTCTCAGCATTCAGCCTCCACAGCTTTGAACTGGGTCTGTGACCACCATGTATGTGTTGTTTTCGGTTTTATGTGTTAATTGGTGTAATTTGGTAGGTTATATTTTGGATCTGGGAATCCTAAAATATGCTACCCATATAAATTGATGGTTATTGCTTATTTGTTAATGCAATTTCAGCTTACAAAAAGATTCATGCTTTCGGACAGGGGAAAGCCATGTTTTGTCTTTTTAAAAAAAACAAAACACTGTTCTTTTGTTGCCCCAAAAGGCATCTCCCAAGTATTTTTTTCTCTTGCATTCGCATATTTTTAAGTGAAACCCACAGGGCATAAAGGATAGCAGCGGAGGAGCAGGCTCCACCTGTTGAGGGCAGCAGGTTCGCGGGGCAGGGCGCTGCCTTCTCCAGGTGAGAAGACGGCAGCCACTGTGTGTCTAAGAGTCGTCCACTCCGAGGGCCCGAGGTGGTTAACTGCAGACATCTGTCACAGCTGTCCAGCGAGCGCGCACAGGGCCGTTGGAGGGCTGGAGACCGCATGGCAGCCACAGCGGCACTGCACAAAAGACCACACCTATCGCTGGCGCCACGGCCTCCGGCGGACCCTCAGGTCCCTGCGCCAGGGCAGCCCTTAAGGGGCACGGGGGGGGAGGACCTCCAGGGGCAAGCCCAGGGGCGGAGAGAAGGATGATGGCCCCGCTGTCCGCCCAGAAGAAAGCCTGACTCATGTCGTGACGGCGGCAGCGGGCTCCTGGGAACTCAAAACTCGTGATGCTGTCGCTGCGGAGAAAAGCCTCATTACCCATTCCGTAGGCGGGGACACCACCCTGGGCGCGCACACCGAGGCCGGGGCTCCAGCGCCCTCCGCGGGCCCGCAGCTCGCCGCCGCACCCCCACCCCTGCCGCGTGCCATAGCGCCGGCCGCGTTTGAGAAAAGCGCGCACACACTCAGCCGGGCGCGCGGACCCGGCCCCTCGGCCGCCCCACCCCCACGCAGAATCCCACTGTCCGACCGGATCCGCTTCCTCTGCCGACAGTCCCCACCCCCACCCCCACCGGCCTTCGGCACCTCCTTCGGTAATTTCCGTAGAAAGCCCGAGCGCCCGGTGGGACCCGAAGAGGAGCCACCTCCTCCCCGGCCAGGCGAGGCTTTATGTCTGCGGCGCCGGGGCGCATGCGCAGACGCCATCTTCCCTCTGTCTCCTCTCCGGGCCCCCTCCCCCCGCCACCGCCGCCGCCTCCTCTCGCCGGCAGTCGCCCCTCCTCCTCCTGCGCCCGGGCGCTGGTCCCTCCTCTCTCAATGCCGCGAGAGACAGGGGGACACGGCGGAACCGGGGGAACCGGAGCAGAGCACTAGTAGCCACCACTACAGCCCCCTCCCCGCCCGACACCCTCCGTCAACACCCACCCACTCCCCCGCCCCGTTTGCCGACACCGACCAACCCCACCTCGTTCCTTTGAACGGCGTCGGCTGCAGTCGCAGCACCAGCCCGTCTGGCCACCAACGCCGCCGACCAGGAGCCTCCGCCGCCGCCTGCAACCCCCTCCCTCCTCGGCCGCGGGGTGAGGACGAGCCGGCTGCGGAGAAGAGGACCTGAGAGGCCCTCCGCCCTCCGGGGAGGCTCGGGCGCCGGCCCCTTCCTCCCCGCGGACGTGAGCCGAGCCGAGGCGCCTGCCTTGAGGGAGGAAAATGCTCGGGCTCCATGGCTGCCAGTGATGGAGCGCTCCCTGGGCTCCCGCTCCCACCGCCGCGCCCCGGCCGTGTTCCGCGAGGACCCGGCGTCTCTGCGCGCCCGCCCGCGCCTCGTTGCTGGGCTCAGCGTACCGGGCGCCCCGCCGCCGCCCCACTCCGAGCCTCGCCGCCCCTGTCCCAGCCGCGGCCAGCGTTTCTTCACGGAGCAGCCGCCGCGAGCCCAGGGGGTTTGAAAGGGTCCGCGGGGCGCGGGGGAGGGCGCGGCGGGGCCGAGGGGAGGTTTGAGCGACACTGAGCTCGGAGCTCGCCGGCGGCGGCACCGGGGGTGGTGAGGGGCCGGAGAGCCGCCGGGCGCCGCCTTCGTGCAGAGCGGCCGGGAGGGGGCTGCAGCCGCCGCCGCCGGCGCGCCGGGAGCAGGGGCTGCGGTGGCCGGCGTTGGCCGGCGAAGGTGGGCATTTCTCGGGTCCCCTCCCCGCCTGCTGCCCCGCACCCCACGTGAAGCGGCATAGAAAGGGGGTGTGAGGCGAGCGGGGAAAGTGAATGGCGAAGGACTGAAGGGGGCCCCCTTCGGGACCCCGGCCGCACTGTTCACCCTCGTTCATCCTCCCTTTTCGAAGCTCGGCGCCGGTGCCTCGCTGAGAAGGAGGAGGAGTCGCCGCGCCCGGCGGAGCGGCAGCCCCGCGTTCCTCTCCGGCTCGTGAACACAAAGATTACGGTGCAGGAGGAGATTGCACTCGGGCCCTCCGCCCTCCGGTACCCAGTACAATGCACCAGCCGCCCGAGTCCGCGGCCGCCGCCGCAGACATTAGTGCGAGGAAGATGGCGCACCCGGCAATGTTCCCCCGGAGGGGCAGCGCCGGCGGCGGCCCAGCCCTCGGTGCAGCAGGTACCGGCACTGGCAGCAGTGCCTCGTCCTCCGAGGATCTGCCTCCTCCGTCGCTGCTCCAGCCGCCGCCTCCTGCAGCATCTTCTGCGTCGGGACCGCAGCCTCCGCCTCCACAAAGCCTCAACCTCCTTTCGCAGGCTCCGCTGCAGCCACAGCCGCTGGCGCCAGGCGGAACGCAGATGAAGAAGAAGAGCGGCTTCCAGATCACCAGCGTTACTCCGGCCCAGATCTCCGCCAGCATCAGCTCCAACAACAGCATCGCGGAGGACACCGAGAGTTACGATGATCTGGATGAGTCGCACACCGAGGACCTGTCCTCGTCCGAGATCCTTGATGTGTCACTTTCCAGGGCTACTGACCTGGGGGAGCCGGAACGCAGCTCCTCAGAAGAGACTCTGAATAACTTCCAGGAAGCTGAGACACCTGGCGCAGTCTCTCCCAACCAGCCTCACCTTCCTCAGGCTCATTTGCCTCACCTTCCACAGCAGAATGTTGTGATCAATGGGAGTGCCCATCCCCACCACCTTCATCACCACCACCACATCCATCATGGGCATCACCTCCACCACGGGCACCACCATCCCTCCCATGCTGGTGTGGCTGGTCCCTCGGTTCCTGGAGGGCCGCCCTCAAGCCCTGTATTGAGAAAACTCTCTACAAGTGGAAGCTCTGACAGTGTGATACCAGCCCCGCCACCTTCGATGGTCTCATCCAGTGGCTCACCTGCATCTGTAATGACTAATATTCGCACTGCGAGCACGCCTGGTAGTATAGGTATAAATTCTGTTACTGGCACTAATACAGTGAATAATGTTAACATTTCTGCTGTGGGTAGTATTAATCCGAATGTGACAAGCAGCATGCTCAGTAATGTGAATACAAGCAATATTCCTGGTGCTGCTAGTGTGAATGTTGGGCCTGGAGCTGGCGGCAGTGTTAATGTGAATCTCTTGAGTGGCATGGGCAATGGTACTATTTCCTCCTCTGCTGCTGTTAATCATATCCCTACTGCAGCTGCAGGGATAGCTGTGGGAACAACAGTTTCAAGTCAACAGCAACATCCAACAGTTAACACATCGCGGTTCAGAGTTGTGAAGTTAGATACCAGTTCTGAACCCTTTAAGAAAGGTAGATGGACTTGCACTGAGTTCTATGAAAAAGAGAATGCTGTACCTGCTGCAGAAGGTGTGGTGATAAATAAGGTGGTGGAGACTGTCAAGCAGAACCCGGTGGAAGTGACTTCTGAGAGGGAGAGCACTAGTGGGAGTTCAGTGAGCAGCGGTGTCAGCATACTGAGTCACTACACAGAGAGTGTGGGAAGTGGAGAGATGGGAGCCCCGACTCTGGTGGTGCAGCAGCAGCAGCAACAACCAGCTCTTCAAGGTGTGGCCCCTCAACAGATGGATTTCAGCAGCACTGGCCCACAGAGTATTTCAGCAGCTAATATACCACAGAGTGTTTCCCAGTCACAGATCTCACAAGTACCCTTACAGTCTCAAGAATTGGGCTATCAGCAAAAGCACGGTCTTCAGCCAGTACCTCTGCAAGCCACTATGAGTGCTGCAACTGGTATCCAGCCATCACCTGTGAATGTGGTTGGTGTAGCTTCAGCTCTAGGTCAGCAGCCTTCCATTTCCAGTTTGGCTCAACCCCAACTGCCATATTCTCAAACGGCTCCTCCAATGCAAAGTCCCCTTCCGGGGGCACCACCCCAGCAGTTACAGTATGGACAACAGCAGACTGTTTCTGCGCAGATGGCTCCAGGCCATGGTAAATCAGTGACTCAAAATCCTACTTCTGAGTATGTACAGCCGATTCTTCAGACAACAGTGTCCTCTGGACAGCTCAGTTCTATAGCAGTGGGAACAGGAGCAACGGTGATTCCTGTGGCTCAGCCACAGGGGGTTCAGCTGCCAGTGCAGTCCACGGTAGTGCAGGCCCAACCTGCAGGGTTGTCTAGCCAGCCCATTGGCCAGCCTCCGGCAGCAGTGTCTGCTGTACCTGCTGGTAGTCAGATGGCAAATGTTAGTCACCAAACAAACATACCTACTGCAGTGCAGCAGCCCTTGACTCAAGTCCCACCTTCAGTTATTCAGCAAGGTGCTCCTCCACCTTCACAGATTGTTCCACCTGCTCAGACTGGGATTATTCATCAGGGAGTTCAAACTAGTGCTTCAAGCCTTCCTCAACAGTTGGTCATTGCACCCCAAAGCACTTTGTTAACTGTGCCTCCCCAGCAACAAGGAGTAGAATCGGTAGCTCAAGGAGTTTCACAGCAGTTGCCCGCAATTAGTCCTTTGCCCTCTGCTAATATTTCTGTTACAAATCAGGTTAGCTCAGCAGTTCCTTCTGCAATGCCTTCTGCCCCAACAAACTTGGTTCCACCACAAAATATAGCACAAACCCCTGCCACCCAAAATAGTAATTTGGTTCAAAGTGTTAGTCAACCTCCCTTGATAGCATCTAGTATAAATTTGCCCTTGGCACAACAAATACCACTGAGTTCTGCTCAATTTTCCGCACAATCATTAGCTCAGGCAATTGGAAGCCAAATTGAAGATGTCAGGCGCCCAGTGGAACCTTCCTTAGTTGGCTTACCTCAAACGATCAGTGGTGACAGTGGGGGAATGTCAGCAGTTTCAGATGGGAGTAGCAGCAGCCTAGCAGCCTCTGCTTCTCTCTTCCCGTTGAAGGTGCTACCGTTGACGACACCCCTGGTTGATGGCGAGGATGAGAGGTAAGATCATGCCATGTTTTATAGACATTCAACAGATTTGAAGTTACCATATTTAGTAGATACCTATATGTGTTTATATAGACACATGCATATTTATATGTGTATACATATAAACAAAGTCTAAAACATTGTTTCCCTTTCTGCATGTGAATAGGCATTTTTAGGCTAAATTTCCTCAACAAGCCTGCTATGGGATGGTTTCAGGGCATAAAAAATGTTCGTAAGTTTTATATGTAAATCCTGTCAAATAGTTGAACAACATCTTTTAAAACTAAGTTTGGGGACACCCATTATTTGTAAAATACTTTTGAGAAAGTAATGAACAGAAGCTAAATTTTTGCTAACCCACATGATAATCATTCTTTCAAGTTACTAAAACTTTTATGAACACCTCTTGAGGTGATTGTGGTTTCCACATTTATGTCTACTAAGGCAATTCCAGTTTCTACTGTGTTTGATTTCAGTCTGTTAAAGATAATGCCTACTTTCCTTAACTAGTCTGGTAAATTGGGAAAATTGACCCAATCTAGGACTATAGTTATAGGTTGCCTTCATACTGAATTGCCCAACTTTTGTATACTTATTTAATGGTCATTTGATTTGATCAGTAAAGGCATAGGAGTTTTAGGAATATTTTGCAAGGGAGATGGGCGTAATGTTGCCACTGTACAAGATTTACCTTTGATAATAGTGTTTTGTATATGCTTAGGAGTCCAAGGTGGTAGCCATTTTAGAATAAAGAAAGAAAAGCCTGGAAGGTTGGGCTTACAGAAAATTACAAGACCTGTTTCGCTGCTAATCTGCTCCACCTGTTGTTTCCTTTCCCTCCAAATACATTCTCAAACTAGTATTTTTCCAGTTATATTGGAAATAATATTCTATTCATGCCTACCAAATCTGTTTCCTTGAACCTAACTGGCTAGGAAAGTTGTAAAGTCTCATGATTTTACATTGTTTTAAAATGAAATTGATTTTAAAGGAATGTTCTTTTCATAAATTTACCAACGCTAACAACAAACATTGATCAAAATAGTAAGGAGTTATGGTAAAGGCTTTTAATTTTCACTGTGGGATTTTGAATTAGCTCCCGGGATATTATTTTGGTGTTTGTTTCAAGATTTTTGTGATTGAACTTTGTAAAATTAATAATTATTTTCTACCTATTTATGTACTTGTGATTATCAGTTTGGAGAAACAGAGCATATTTTAAAAGAATTGCTATTTTTAAAAAAAAATACCAAACATTTCAGTGAGTTTCATTAGTTTTAGTTAAGAATTGTAATGATTAACTGAAATAATCTGACAACCTTTTGGGGTTTTTATAAAATCTCATTTACCCAACTGCATTATGTATTTTATTACCTACTCTGCATTATGCTTATAAAATTGTAATTTAAAAAGCCCAGCATTTTGCATCAAACCTATCTTGATTTTCTTACCATTTTAATCTCTGGGGAGGACTCTTCCTAGTGGTAGAAGTCTTTCCTCAACTGGTTGTTCTGGAAAAAGGCACGTGTTATTGTGTACAACTAAATTTTTAGCTATAGAGTCAGGATTAGAACATTTATAACAGAACTAACTTCAGATAACTGAGACAAAAATTAATTAGGGGTAAATTATATAGAAAGGTTTGGAATTTCAGAAAAGGACATAAATGACACTGAGAAATATGGGAAATAATAGTTTAAAGTAAGTTGAGATGGTATTTGTTTTGAATTTACTGTATGTTTGGACTTTTGAGTTAATGTCAAAGTTACAAAGATCAGAATATTTTAGTTTCAGAATTATCTTTCAAATTCTGGAAAATAAAAACATTTCACCCTGAAAAGCAAAACAGTTAAGAAAGAAATTTCACCTTTAAAACAGAAAGGAGTGTTTGTGTAAGGTCTTAATAGTATCTTACAACTCATTGCCATTGAGTTTGAACTAACTCATAGCTGACTGACAGCCCATTGGGTTTCTGAGGCTGTAAATCAAATAGAGGAGGAGATTGTCCATCTTTCTCTCCTGTGGAGCAACAAACCATTAGAGACGCTTAGCCTTTGTTTTGGAAAAAGAAAATAAGTGTAACTTGTTTCAGTTACATTTGCCATTGGAAAGGATTAGAGAATATCTACAAAAGTGTATGATATTTTTAAAAAATCCACAAAACCCTTTTCTTCCTATATTAGCTTTTGTATCACTTGTCTCTTCTGGATACTGAGCCCCTAATATTTACTCAGGGAGAAATGATGATTTTACTATATGATTTTTTTCTAATGGACAGATATTGGATGGTTATTCTTTAATCTGCCTTTAGCATAATAATGTATAGCTTCAGATTTAAAAATGTTCATGTAGATGTATAGAAAATGTTTTCAGTCGGCCACTGGACAAGACTAAAGATTAAAAAGCATTAAGCTATAAATATTTAAGATACTTTTTTTTTTTAAACCAGTTCTTAACAAAGATTTTATGGTCTTAATTTAACTATTAATAGTTATACAGGAAGGTACAGATACTTTACACTAGAATGTAGTCTGGTATTTTGTGATATTTTTCTTCAGAAGTTGTGAAGATGGTACAGGATAGGACAAGATTCTGATCTGTTGTTTAAAGGGTCACTAAGTAGTCCACTCATGGGCATTTGAAAATAGCAACATGTTAAACTGGTTGAATTTGTACTCATCCTTCGAGACTCAGCTCAGATGTTCCCTCTGAAGTAATCATTTTCTCAGGGAATGTTTTTTCTTTTAAACTTTTTAATGTTCCTTTATTTAAGCATTGTTTACAATTGGATTATAATTGTTTACTTATTTTCCCCACAAGATTTGTGAGTTGAAGGACTAAATGCTTGCTTTAAATGAATTGATAAGCAGATCTTTCTTAGCTCTGTGAGTTGTAGTTGGTTTTTCTGTCATGATCTAAAGTTTATTTTGTCTTTCATCTTAGTTATAACTGTTAGAGATGCAGGATTGTATAATTTATACAGTGAGTTGAAAAGTGATTTAAAAAAACACTGGCTTTTTACCTCTTAACTTCATTTTTCCTCAAGGTAAAATTAATCTCTATTTTCCAAACAACCCTAGCACATAGTAGACACTCAAATATTTATCAAAGAGGAGTGATTTTTTTTTCTTTTTTCACCTACTTCCAAGGAGGATTGTATTAGATATTGTAGTTTCTTAACTAAGAAGCACTATAAAGTTTTATTTGTATTTAAGTAATATAGTAAAAACTTAAAAAGAGTCAAATAGTTTGCAAGGTTATTTGGAAGGGAGAAAAAACTTTGGTCTTGTTTTATTTCCCTTTCACAGAAGCAATGTGTTTTTCCTATGATTACTGTACTACTTATTTGGTAATGTCTAAGTATCATGCATGTATTGCTACTATATACATGTATACTTGATGGTAAGGAACATGAACTCTAAAACAGGACTGCTTAGGCTCCATCTTTTCTCATTTTTTAAGTTTTATGTAACATCAGTATTATATGCCTGTTTTCATTTGCAAAAATGGCGATAAAAGTACTTAGTGTTATAAGAAGTAAGTTTGGAAAGCCATTAGAACTACACCTAACTCATATCCCCTAAGTATTTGTAAAATAATACTCCTTTAGTTTTTAGCTTTACCCGTTAACTTTCTGCATAGAAAATGAAGGTTGAAATCTTGCTCTTCATACCACTTAACTGATCCCCCATCTGACCACTATACTGTATTGTTATTAAATCACAATTGATTATTCAGTATTCTTGTAAAGTACGGTTAATTTTTATATTTGGTACAATATGTTGAGGCACCCTCCCTCCTATCACCCCACTACTAGTTATCTATATGTTATTCTTAGGTGTTGTCAAATTCATTTTATGTCACATGACTCATTACAGGTCACATGACTCTGAACAACAGATCAAAAACCTTGCCTCATAATTACAATCTCCAGCATGCTCAAGCCCATTGTTTTAAGTCACTGTGCCAGTCAAACTAATTGAGGGTCTTCCTCTCTTTAGCTGATCCTTTACTTTTACAAGCCTGACAACCTGCCCAAAGTATGTTTCGTCATCCTTACCTCAGAGGAGCACCTTGGTTGTACTTCTTCCAGAAGATTTTGTTTGATCTTTTGGGTGTTCACAATATATTCAGTACCTCTCACCACCACCACAATTCGAAGACAGCCATGCTTCTTGAGTCAGTCTTGTTCATTGTCCTACTTTAACATTCATATGAAGCAATTGAAAATGCCATTACTTGGATCAAGAGTTCTTCAGTCTTTAAATTAGTGACCTTGCTTTTACATGAACACCCAGTGAACCCCATCTTTAGATTTCTTGAATGCTGCTACTGAAGGTGTTAATTCTGGATGCAAATAAAATAATTTGAGACTTTATTCTTCTCCACTTGTGTTACTGCCTATTGGTCCAGAAGTGAAGCTATTTGTTTCCTTGATGCTGAAGTATCCATGTTGAAGACCATTGTCTTTGAGAATCAACATAGTAGTTCCAAGTCTTTGGCACTTAGTGCATACAAGGTTATATCATCTGCATAACATTGGTTGTTGATGAGTCATTTTCCAGCTTCTCGAATATAGGCTGGATTATGTGAAGAATGTATACAATTATGTGAATACATTATTAGGAAGAATGAATACAGGTCAGCATAAAGGCTGAATAGATATCGAGAAAGGATACAACCCTGACAAATCCTTTCTTGATTTTAAACTATGCAGTATCCCCTTGTTCTCTTTGGAGGAACAAGATGTCTTTTTCACCAGATGTCTCAAGATGTTCATAGATAGATACTATACATAGATACTATTATCAGTTTATCTTCCTGAGGAAATTTTCCTCATACTCTTCTGACCTCCCATTGGCATGCTACACTTCATTCACAACTGTTATCTTGGGATTCTCATCTTTTTTCTTTGTTGGATCTCTATTTTCTGGTGACCTATATTGTCTTTACTTTTGGTTTACTTAATATTTTATAATGGTTTTAGTTTTCTTTGATCCTTGTTCCATTCA